CATCCAGCACTTTGCCAGGGCTCGCGGGGCCACACACAGTCCCATGGGAGCAGGACCTTGGGTTTAAGCTTCCTCAGCTTTCTCGGAAACCAGTTCTGCGGTTGACAGCAACTTACTGACAGTCAGGAGTCTGGTCTTTCCTCTTCAGTGTGGCCTGGACCACCCGAAAGGCAGAGGAGTCAGTGTCAGGGAAGGTTCCTGCCCCTCTAGGCAGGGCCCACGCCCAGGTCTGGCACGACCTTCAGGGGCAAAGGCTCTGACCCAAGCACTGACGTCCTGGTCTTGGACACCAGGGCACCTCCTGCTCCCACTGTCAAAGCAGCAGCTATTGATTTGGTGCCCAGGCAGAATGCGCAATCTTAAGGGTCAGCAAGACCACAGGACTGTCCAGGCCAAGCCCCCGACCTCTGCACAGAGCCAGAAGCAGCATTTTCCCAGCTCCTGTGCGTGGCCAGGTCTCCCGGGTGCCAAGCACCTCCCGCTCCCTGGCTTCTCTGTGTCCCCAACACAGCAGGAATGCAGCCCACAGCATGAGGACCACCCGGCAGTATGAGAGGCAGACAGCAAAGCTGCAGCTCTGACACCCACTGGGCCTAACCCGCAGGCCCTGCGGGTTTCGGGGGCGCGGGCTCCAGGCCCCGGGTGTCTCTGCCGAGGTGCAGGAAGAAGAACCCACCGCAAGTGGGGAACACTGAGTGCAGGTCCGGGATGAGCTGGGCAGGGCTGAGGTGAGGGGCAAGGGACAGCGAGAGTCCGAGGCGACTTCCCTCAGGGGAAGAAAAGCGATGGAAGAGAAGCGTCGCGGGACCGAGGCGCGGATATTTCCCCCGTGAAGGTCCCTTCCTGAAGGCGCTGGGCGGCCGCGGAGCCGTCGGGCCGGGAGCGGCCTAGGCGCCACCTACCGGTGCCCGAGCACAGCGTCCGCGCGGTCTGGCGGCGCCATCTGGTGGCTTCTCGGGGAATCGCGATCCCGCCCACCACCAGCGGGGCGGAGACTTGGAGCGGTTGCAGGCAAGGCTTCCTCCAACCGCACCAGCAGTTTAGAGTCCCGCTCCTCCACCCCTTGGGTTCCCAGGACTTGACTTCTCACTCCGTCCCCATCTCTCTGGCCGATTCATCTTGAACTTATTGCTTAATTCCCCGAACTTCCGTTGCTCCGGCTAGGAAGGAGACACACTAACCATACCCCAGGCTGAGGCTCAACGGGGCAGGACGACTCAGCCCTACAAGGGTTCGGTCCAGGTGCTGGGAGATCAGAGGTGCGCTGTGCCTGGGACAGGGACGTAGTAGGTGACCATCGAGACGCCACCTCCCCTCCAGAGCCCAGGAGCTTCTTAGCCACTTCTAGAACCCCCGACGAGGGAGATGGACTTTAGCCTTGGGACACTACGGAACTGAGTCCGCTGGGAGAAGTTGATGGGGATCCTTCAAGCAAAGCCCTGCCAGGCGAGGAACAGCCCCCTCCCATCACCTGGGAAGCCACCGTTCTGGCTCTCCAGTCTCCCACCCTTGGGGCACCCTGAGTCTGGAGGAAACCAAGCGTGGCTGTCAGTGGGACAGGTTCGGCTCCAATCTGGGGGTGCCTGGCTGGCCCTGTCCAGACCCCCACCCTCATGCATTCATTCTGAATGGAGCCACTGCAGCCATTGGGGCTAGGAGGATTAAAACGGAGAGAACCGTGGTGAACAAGACAGTTATTTTATTTGGACCCAGGATTTTGAGAGGAGGCAAAGGCAAGAACCTCAATACAATCCTTTAAGGGAAGCTGTGTAGGAAGCAAGGAAGGAGTGAGTGACCACCTACGGAAGTCCAGTGGCATTGCCTAGAGGAGGTCACAGAGGAGTCTCTGAGGCAGATCTTCCACCTGGAAGGGCACTTGCAGCAGGAGAGCAGCTGGTGCCCTTGTCCTCAGGCAGGGCCACACATTGGGACCACCTGGGGACTTTTGAAAACATTACAAAGCCTCGGCAGCACTTGAGATGTGTAATTTGAATCTTGGGGGTGCTCTGTTTGTGTGCCCCTCCCCTGCCTAACTCCTGATGGAAGTGGGCCACTGAGCGGTGTCGGGGGTAGAGTGGATAGCCCTGATGAAAGGAGGAAGCAACCAGAGATCTCTGTATGTGTGCTCGCAGAGCGCCAGGAAGAGGGGCTCCCTTGAACCCCTTGGCTCTCTCTTTGCAGACTTCCAGCCTCCAGAACCATGAGAAATAAATGTAGGATGATTAAGGCACCTTGTCTGGGGTAACTTGCTATCAGGGCGTGAATTAAGATGGACAGTAGGGGCACAGTGGACCACTGGATTGTTTGAAGCTCCCAAGGATCCGTGTGCAGGCAGGGTTGAGGACCACTGAGCAAAGGCTTGGAGGGATGAATACATGAACCTGCTCAGGAGAGTAATCCAGCAGGGCAGGACTGTGGCAGGCACAAGTCAAAGGCAAGAGCTGAAGGACAGCAGGTGACACTGGGCCATTTCCTCAGAAGCATGATTCGATGCTTGCTAACGAATGCCATAAACTAAGGAGCTGCAGCACTTTTGACATGGATAAGTGCCCCCCTGATAACCTGCTTGTTTGCATTGGAACAGGACTTACCAGAGTGTCCAAAAGAAGGAAATTGCTTCTGTGTTTCTGAGGATTTACCTGCTTCATCTTTGGATGCCCTGAGCCTGGGGGTCAGTCATGACTCAGTGTTCTCACAGACCTGAAAATCAGACAGCCTGTCAGCCAGATCACATGTTCTCACCTACATGGCCAGTCTCAATTGCTTTTGGGATCAAAGGTTTCATCACATGGCAGCCAAAGAGGCTGAGGAATGTCAAGAAAACCTACAAACACTTCAGTCCCTGGGATGGTTGCCTTGAATCCCACAATTGGGGTTTTTTGATAGTCCTTGATAACCTCTTCTCACTTCTATGGCCAGAGGTAGTCTGCAAGAGCTCAAGAGAGAATATCTAATATCTGTGGGAAAAAGGGGAAAGATCCAGAAAGAGACACCAAAGACCCCTCCTTGACACTGGCCGGAACTAAAGATGGCACCACGAAGCACGCAAAGACAGCTGTTTCCTTCTTTTTGAAACCAGAACCTCCAGGCGTTTTCCTTGGGTTCTCCTGTGGAGCATCACACATCATTTCCCCGGGGATTGACCAATTTGCTAGTCATAGGACCGAGGTTAGGTTTTGCCAGAGGTACTCCGAAGGCGCTTCTCATAACCAGCAAGGGAGGTAGTAACCACTGGCGCTCGTTGGCAGGCATGCAGACGGCCCACACACATCTTGCTGCTGGTAATATCCTGTTCCGGGCTGGGGCTGTAGGAGTGACTCTGAGACAGAGATCTGAGGTCAGGTGGATTCTCTGGGCAGTGATCTCAGAAAGGTCCAGTGGAGGAGCAGGGAAGCGAGACCAGAAAATGAAGGAGGCCAATACAAAGTGTGCTAGTGAGCAAGGGAAGGCCACTGGGAAGTGGGAACCCAGGAGAAAGCATGCCCAAGAGTTACTCCACGGGAGGAGCAAGGTAGTGTGAGCCACATACCCCGCAGCTTCCCTTAATCACTGACTCGGGACTGCTCCCAGGAGCATTCTTTCCTGGACACTCCTGGCTGGCCTGGAGCATGGCCATACTTTAGTGGCTAGAGACCACTTAATGGAAGCAAAGGGAACTGGTGTGCCAACACCTACAGCATGTGCCACCCAGAACAGTGTGTTCCATGCCAACCCACTGAGAGCAGCTGCGGACTGTACCAACCCTTTCCAGAACCCATCAGTTCATCCACCGGCCCACTCAGGAGCAACATCCTGCACCAGTTAGTGAGGAAAGCAGTCTGCACAGCATCTGGCCATCAGAAATCTCCCAGTCCCTGTGCACACAGGTGACAAAATCCTCCTGAGTAGCTTCACGAGCCTGGATGGGACCGGCCTTGCATGCATGGAGTCATTCAAGAAAGCGGTTGCTTAGATTAGCTCTGTCAGGGGTAGCAAGGAATAGCCTTTTAATTTAGCTGAAAGCGCACATTCCAAGGTGATAAGGTGATATGGTTTGTGTCTAGATTCCCTCCAAGCAAGCCTCGTGCACTCACAGGTGGGGCTTTTCAGAGCTGGCTGGATCTGGAATGTGTGGTACTGGGATTAAGGGTGTGTGGTACAAAATTAGCCCGCTGATTGGTTTAGCACAGTTCTGGGTGTGGCCAATGGAAAGGCCCATCCCAGGTGCGGGTGGCACCGTCTGAAGTCTTGGATTCTGGGTGGGATGAAAGGAAAGGAAAAGGCTTGCTGCTTGCTGCCTGCTGCCTGTAATGCCATGGACTGTTTTGTCCCTGCCATGCCCCACTGTCGTGCCACCCTGGCTTGGAACCAACTGACTATGCTTAAAACTTCTACAACTGTGAACCAAAACAAATCTTTCCGTTTTTAACTTTGAGTGTCAGGTGGTTTGTCTCAGGAACAAGAAAAATACCTAAGACGAAATGTAAGTTTTTCTTTATGTCACAAAAAACCACAGACATCATCAGATTTTTTCATCTGCATAAGGCAGTGATTTTTTAAAATGAAAAAAAAAAAGCTGGGCATGGTGATGCATGCCTGTAATCCCAGCACTCAAAAACTGAGGAAGGAGGATTTAAAATTCAAATCCAGCCTGGGCAGTTTAACAGTTTTGCAAGACTCTAGCTCAAAATACAAAATAAAAAAGAGGTGGGGATGTAACTCAGTGTTAAGGCTATGCTTGGGTTAAATTCCCAGGACAACAAGAAAAAAAAAAAAAACAGATGGGAAAATTAGTTAGATTTTACATTGTGGTTATGATTTTCCTTTCAAAGTCCAGATACAAAGAGTATTAGCAGGATTTCAGCAGGGCCTCAAGATTGAACTCAGTGCTCTTATGAGTATTCTCAAGCCTCAAGGTCTCAGACAACAGGCTCCAGTACCACTGGTTTTAACCATACCGCCCCAAAGACAAGGTGAGAAAACCAGCTCAGTCTGTCTGTCTCTTGAGTGATATGGAGCCTTCACTTTTTAACAAAGTGGTAAAACTTCCCTTTTGCAAAGAACAGCATGAGATTTTTGTAAACCTCAATGATCCTGTTTTGCATCAACTTGAAAGCAATACACACAATCTCCATCCCAACGATGATGTAAATGGAGAAGAACAAGAAGAAGTGCGGGTGAGCTAACTCAATGTCCCCAAATCCAATGGTGGTCAGTGTGACAAAACAGAAATAGAAGGCATCCTCAAAGTTCATCTGTGTCTCCCAACAGGGCAAGATGGCAGCTGCACAGGAAATATAGGCAAAGATCACAAGGGCAATGACGGGCAGGGGGATGTCCAGCCTCTCCACTTCTTGTCCCACCTCATCCAGGTTGCTGATGATGGAGTAGGAGAGCCTTCCCAGCCCCAGCTCAGGGCATGAGCTGCTCCTTTCCAGGGTGCAGGGGGGCGGTTGCAGCAAGTGCTCTTGCTGTCTGGTGACCAATCTTTCAAACAGTTCTGTGTTGCAGCCTGGGGCTGAATGACACTTTCCAGGATTGGGGCTAGGCAGCTCTCTGTCACTGACCACGATCTGAGGCATGGCTTCGTCTGCAGGTCTGGAGTCAGGCTTTCTCTGGCAGTGCAGTAGGGGGCACCACTTGGATGGAGAATGGAGAAAGAAAGGGAGTGTTCGGAGCCGATTGTAAGACTTGGATAAAACAGTTGCCACAATGTCACCTATGTCTGTGAGGACCAGGAACATCAGGGGGATGCCAAAGAGGGCGTATAGCATGCACAGGCACCTGCCAAGTCTTGTGACAGGGAACATGTGGCCATAACCTAAAAAAGAAGACAGAGCCTAGAGTTGTTGTCAGTTTCCTAAACCCCTCAAAAGCTTCAAAGACACTTCTTGCTAATGCTCCTACCAAGACATTGTACACATGTGTTTAAAAATATTTATCTTGGGCTAGAATATTAATTAGTGGTAAAGCTTGTGCTTAGCATGCATAAGGCCCCAGGTGCAATCCCAAGCACCAAAAATATGAATAAATAAAATAAAACACTCATCTTGAAGTGTTTGCCACTTGTATGGCTTTGGGTCTGCCTTGGTGGAGGGATGGTGTGATAGTTAACTGTTGTGTCAACTTGAGTAAGGAATGCCCAACGGATTGGCTTAGCATAGTTCCAGGTGTGGATGGTAGACTTACCAAAGAGGAAAGAGCTGGCCCTGGGTGTGGGTGGCACCAACCAATAGGCTTATAGCCTGGATAGAATACAAAAGGAAAGAAGAAGAAAGGCTGCTTCCTGCCTGCCATGCCAGGGACTGTTCTTCCCCTGCCGTGCCCCTCTGCGTGCTACCCTGCCTTGGAGCCAGCCAACTATGGATTAAAACCTCTACAAACTGTGCCCTATAGTAGGCTTTCTTCCTTTAGCTGTGGGCATTGGGTATTTGTCTCAGCAGTGAGAGAAGTAACTAGACTGGATAGAAATGAAACTAGTTTCTCTTTAGAATAAGGAGCAACTCCTATCCACATGTTTGACTCAAGATGCTCTTGGCAGGGGACAAACACATGTTTGGGAGTGAGATGATTGTCTTTCATCCTGCCGAGGTTGTTTCTGCGTGTCCACACGAGCATAGGGTCAGCTCACCTGCAAGGACAGGGAGAACACAGGTGACAGACAGACAGTCATTTCACCCCTTCCTTCTTCCAACGATTCTGGGTTTTAAGAAGCACCTCTGGCCTCCCTGGCAAATCTGGACTTCTCACTTTCCTTGTTTTTGAACAGTGGCCACTTATTAAATGCCAACAGAATGTGTAGTACTAGGGACAATAGGAAGACGGAGGAGACAACCGCTGCCCTCAGAGCCATCTGTGCTTTGGCAGATGAGATAGACACAGTCATAAATGACAGAGAAGCCATTAACCTCCCACATTCAAAAGCTGATGATCTTGGTTCAAATGCCAGCTCTGGCATTTACTATACTGCTCATAGTTTCAGGTTTGAAGCGTGAGAAAATGAAGCACCATAAGAAGAGAAAGAAGGAAGAAAAGAAAGGAAGGTGGCCAAGAGCATAAACATGACAAATGGCAGCCTGAAATCACCACAGGGCTGTTCTGGCCCACACCCTGCCCCCATTCTCAGGGACATTCACAGAGAGGGTCCCTGCAGCCAGAGAGACCTGCTGAGCAAGAAAAGGAAGTGGTGGCCTGGCGTCTCCATGCTTGACTGGGGGTCTCTCTTCACACCCCGCCTCTGCCTGTGAGGGTGGGAGCAGAGAGAAAGTGACTCTTCCGTGCAGTTACTCGCATCCACCAGGGCAGGAAAGCTCTGATGACTTCAGCAAACAGGAAGCAGTGTTTGCTTCATGACTGTTTAATTTTTGATGTCCTAAAGGATCATTAATTCAGAAAATGCAGCCCAATTATGTAAATTAATTTGAAGGCAATTCCTGGGCTGGCCACGACCCAACCTCGTCCAGGGACTGCTGCTCCCTGTGGCAAACTGCAGCCTCAAGATGCCTGCTGGGAGCCAGGTGGCACTCCGGACGCCCACATCACCAGTGCCCAGTAACAGAAGAGGCTGTAACCCTGCAAGGGTGTCATTGGTTTGCATCTGTCACAAAGCACTCCACATCACTCTGACCAGTTCCGTGGGACCACTGGGTGCAGAGTTGGTAGACTCTATGTGTGTATTCATCCGCCCATTCATTTCTTCATTCATTGTTTCTAGGGTGCTTACTGCACGTGCTGGGACCATGGTAGTAAGAAAAGCAGATGTGGGCTCTGAGCTCCCCAGGTTTCTGGTTTAGATGGGGACGTAGATATTAGCAAAGTCTCCACACTTGTAAATATTCCCCGACAGAGGTCAACAGCAGAGGGTCTCAGTGATGTTGGAAGAAAGGCACCTGTCCTTGTATTGGGTTCAGAAAAGGTATCACAGTAAGGTGACTCTGTAGCAGAGATGGAGAAGGGGACTGAGAATCAGCTAGGTGAAGCAGCAGCAGCAGAACAAGCAAAGGACCAGGGACAGGTTTGAGAATCAATCTTCATGCAGTGGGACAGTTGGTATAGTGCCCCTACAGGCAAGGGACCGAGCAGGAGCTGAAATCCCACCTGCAGTGCACTCTAAGCCATGGCCCCAGGGCTCAGGGCCCAGAGCCGTGCCTGCCTAGCGGAGATGTGGCTTTCTGTGTTTTCACTAAAGCTTTAGCCAGAGTGAGGGACCGAGAGAGGACACAGAAGCAGGGAGAGGGGTGCAATGTGAGGCGGGGGGGGGGGGTGTCTAAGGACAGAAGGGAGTGCCATGACAGAAGAGGGGAGCGGGGTGGGAAAACACCCCTTCCCAATCTTAATTCACAGAATCTGGAATTTGGAAAGTGAGTCTGCAGCTAAGCTTAAGGAGTGAGAGGAGATTTATATGTAGGGGCTCTAATGGCCCCCATGAGTGACCCATCCAGGAAAGGCAGAGGGAGACTACACACAGAGAAGAGGAGAAGGCGATGTGACCTCAGAGGCAAGACCAGATCTTGGCAACCACAAGTCAAAGAGTTCCGGCTAGCAAGCACGGTGGCACATGCCTGTAACGTCAGCTGCTCAGGAGGCTGAGGTAGGAGGAATCAAAGATCAAGGCCAGCATGGCACCGTTTGACAAAAAAATAATGAAAAGGGATGGGAATGTAGCTGAGTTCAAGCTCTAGCTCTGGGGCAAGAATGTTGACAGCCACCAAGCTGGACAAAGCCAGGGTGCCCCTCCCTGGAAACTCTGGAAGGCCTGGGACCCTGTCAACATCTTGATCTTTAAAGTCAGTGTCATTGATTTCGCACTTTCAGCCTCCAGCACTTGACAAATTTCTGTGGCCAAGTTGGTTACAGCCACAAAAGGAGATGAATACAATCAGATTCGCATCCTGAAAAGATCACCTGGGCTGCATTGTTGAGAGTTGCACTGTTGCAGGTGACAGTGGCCCGAGGAAAACCAGTGGGGAGGTACAGGTACCTGTGCCAGGACCCAGGCTGTGCTTGGCAGAGGTGGGAGTCAGGAGAAGCACAGAAGTGTGCAGACTGGCTGAGCTTTAACGTAGACAGAGATCTCAGCAGGACAGACAGCAGAGTTTGGATTTGGGGTGTCACAAAGGAACTGAGCAGGCAGATCTGAGTCTTTGGTTAACAAGTTGAGTCACTGATGAATCCCCTTCAGAGTCTGCACACAGAATCCAGAAGCACACAGACGAGAGGCAGCACCACACTCCGAAGATAACATGGTGGCTCATGCTTGTCATCCTAGCACTCTGGGGGGCTGAGGCAGGAAAGACGTAAGTTTAAGCACAGCCCAAGAATTTAACAAGACCCTGTCTCTAAATTTTAAAACATTGTAATAAAGGAGAGTGGGGAGATAGCTGGGTACAAAGACCCTGAATTCAATCCCCAGTGCTAGGAAGAAGGAGCAGGAGGAGAAGGAAAAGGAGGAGGAGCAGGAGGAAGAGGAGAAGGAAGGAGGGGGGAGGGAGAGGAGGAGGAAGGACAGGGAGGAAGAAAAGGAGGAGGAAATAGTATTCTGGAATCAGGCATGAAGAAACTCGGCACCTTACTCTGTGACTCACGAGATCTGTGACCTTGACCAATGGGCTTTATTGCTTGTGGCAGCAGCTTTCTTGGATATGACAGGAGAGAACACTAGCCCCCACGTTACTGAGGGAATTAAAAGATTATGACATGAGGAGGACTTAAAACTATGCCTGGCCCATAGTAAGTGTTCAGCTTTGTGTTGTTTTTTCAAGAGACTGTGATCTCTGAGCTACTAACAAAAGATGTGATCAGATAAAGCACTGATGCCACTGCTGGGAGCAGGGGTCACTCTGCAGTTTCAATAGCAGTGGGACAGAGTACCTGACCTCTACACTCTCCTGCAACAGCCAGGAGAGGTGAGGTCTCAGCGGCGGAGATGGCTAAGTACAGAAAGTCAAATGACGTTGGCACTGCTGGAAAGCTGAACAGGACATGGGATTTCTCCACACACGCCCTCAGTGGAATGCATCTCGATACCCACGTGAATTGGGGCCTCCAAGGAGTGTTCTTTTGGTTCATTCATTGATTCTCTTCCTTTTCACAGAGAACAATCCCTTTAAATGCATCTGATCACAGCTCCACTTAGGGCAAAGCCAGTCTCCGGGATGCCTTTGGTGTCCAGCAGCCCCCACCTTCACCTCCAGCCTCCTCTTGCTCGCTCTGCCCCAGCCACACTGACCTGCTTACTTGCCCTCAAGAAATCCTAGGGAGGACCCCAGCCCAGGGCGTGCACTTAACGTGCACTGCGCCTACCACATCAGACTCCAAACACCCCCATGGCTCCCCCTGCTTCCCTCAGGTCCGCTCACATGCTTCTCTGCAGGGGAGCTCTTCCCGGCCACCCCACTTAATGGCAACCTCTGTCCCTCCACCCCCATTCCCTTCTTTCCTGTTCTCCATAAATTCCCAAACTCTCTAATCGACTCTGAACATTAGTTTGTCTATTTCATCATCTGCTCAAGGAGTTTGCTCCATGTTAATCCTACACCTCCTTCACTGTGGCTAGAACAGTGTCCAGAACCTCACTAAAATGAGCACCTATTTATGCCAGGCACTTAGGGATGGGTAGGGGCACAAGAAAGAGCAGGCAGAGGTCACTTCTCCCTCTAGGGCATGCCTGGAACTCTCCTGCAGTTCAGTGAGCCAGGCTGTGGGGTCCAGGAGGAGCCTGGGCTGTGATGTCAACACTGCATTCAAGCCTGATGTGGGCATCCCTGGACCACCAACCTGAAGGTTGCCAGTAGCAACCATAAACAGGAGCGAACTTGTTTTCCAGGCAGTGCCTTGCTCCCCATACTGAGTTCTCATGTATCTCTAGAGAAGTCGCAAGTGGCTCTCCAGTAATCACTGGTAACCTCTCAGCCTCCAGGATGGGGACCTGGGTTAAGTTTATTGTTATTTTATTTAGTAATTTAGTAGTTTATTTAGTAATTTTTATGTGTGTGTGTGTGTGTGTGTGCGTGCGCACACACTATTGGAATTGACCCCAAAGCTTATCCATCCCCAGTCCTTTTTCAATGTTTAATTTTTATTTTGGGTCCGTGTCTCACTAAATCTCTGAGCTGCTCAGGTCATGCTTGAATTTGTGACCCTCCTGCCTCAGCTTCTCAGAATGCTGGGATTGAAAGCACCCGTCAGTGTGCCCAGCTAAGTATCTAACACTTCTGGCAGGATTTATAATGTACCTTTTAAAGTCAAAATGTCCCACACAGCCAAACTCCTAGTGTTGGCAATCTCTGATGTTACCTGCATTTAGAGGACAAGGTATAGAGAAATCTGGTGACCTATTTGGGTCACACAGCTCACAGTCGGCAAAGGTCTCCACCTTCACCTGAAGACCTTGCTCATGGGACGCCCAGCCGCGGATGCCCCATCACACATGGATTTGCTGAGTTCCAGACCAAGAGGCCATGACCACCTTTTGCTTTGTTTTGTTTTGTTTTTTGTCTTTTTGAGACAGGGTTTTGTTATGCAGTTCAGGCTGGCCTTGAGCTCACTTCATAGCCCACGCTGGTCTCAAACTAGCAGTGATCCTCCTGCCTTAGCCTCCTAATCACTGAGATTATAGATTGAGCCACCACGCCTGACTCCCCCATGACCGCCTTTCAATGAAGTGTGTTACAACCAGTAAGACACGCTGCATCCCAAACAATGTCTCGAAAAGCCAGTCTCCAAGAACATACAATGCCTATTAAAGCAATAGATTAACCCAGTTACTGCAAGCCAAAATGCCCAATGCAGAATCGCATCACTCCCTAAAATGCATTTGCACATCTGATAAAATCAGCACACTGCACTTAGCCTGGGACCATTTCACAGTTAAGCATTTTCTATGCTGCTCCAAGGAGACTGAGCCACCGCCCACCTCCCCCCTGGCAGGCATCCCTGCCTTAGCACCGGAGCCATGGAGAATTCAGGTGATCCCAAAATGCAGGGCAGGAAGCTGTATACTAGAGAGCCTTTCAAGCACTATTATTGATTACAGACAAGGTAGAACATGCCCAGGGTAATTATCAGGATTATGATGTCATGACTCTCTTGGACAGTGGGTAGTGGCTTTGCTGTGATTTAAAACAATGTAATGCTGTCCATTAGATCACCGACTCACAGCCTGGATCCCATCAGCATTCCCTGGAGGGCTCTCAGAAATGCTGATGACTAAGTCCCGACTTGGTTGGTCTGGGCCAGGGTCCAGTCATGGGAACTTGTAAAAGACATGGACATGGTTCCTTTCAGGTCTCAAACAGGGCCTGGAATCTGCATTCCTAGCAAGTTCCGCAGAGACAGAGGCTGCCACCAGGGAAGCACACTTCCACAACCCCTTCCACAGATCTGTGATCTGAAACGGGGCACGTGGAGAACTGTTGAGAGACATTTTTTGTGACCCAGTGCCTGGAGGGTGGGAGAAGAACTCCAGAGATGCTGCTCACCTTCCTACAGGGATGGGCCACACATACCCACTCTCCACGAACAGGCCACGGGGCTTGTCCTGTCCTGAACCAAGAGTACCTTTTGAAACCCCCACTCCTACCCTGATCACTCACCCTCAAGATCTTTAAAGTAGGTTTACTGAATTCCCCTCTCCATGAAGCTACCCCCGCTCTGCTCACAGAGTCCCCTGAGTGTGTCACTGTCACACACAAGCTACATTGGTTGCCTACAAACATTTCTGTCTTGCCTGGGAGTCTGTGAGCTCCAGAAAGTCTTGGCCACACCTGTCCCATTTCCTGTGCTTTGTATAAGAATACTCAGGACGGGGACACGAGGGCCAGCACCCAGTCCACACCTGCTGACAGTCCTGGGGCAGTCCCGCTCTGCTCATTGCCGCTCTCCTGAGCTGACGACAGTGCCTGGCAGTGCCCCAGAGGCCTGGCACGAGGCAGACAGTCAGCCAATCCTTTCTTGCATTAAACACGTTCAATGTCCAAGCCTGCTGCCTAGAGACTCCTCTCCACCCAGTTCTGTCTCCCCACCCCGGGCAGCTGGGTAGGGGGCATGGGAAGGCCTGCCTTTACACTCACCCACCGTGCTGACCACTGTGCAGCAGAAAAAGAGTGCACTCAGGAAGTTCCAGTCTTCCGCCTTCTGGGCCCACAGCTCAGGCTTCACCTTCTTTAGAAGTCCCAGCACTTTCAGTTTTTCATCTTCCGAAGCTGGAGAAAGAGGCCAGGGTGAGGAGCAGGCTCTGCCCATTGCAACAGTTCGGCCCAGGCCAAGGGGATGGAGTCTTCCCGAGGACCGGAAGTTAGCCACCCCAGGGTCCTGCTCAGCACCAATGCTTTAAAACGTCTCTGCAGCTCAGTTCCTGTTCCTGCTCCCTGTGCAGATTGGCAGGCCAGGTGGCCCCAAGAGAAGAACCCCTAACACATGGCCCTGCTGGGCACACTCAGCTCAGCCACGGAGTCACTGCACGGCCTCTGGGGGCTCCCTGCACTTTGAGACTTTCTGATCCTTTCATCTTTCAGAGGGGAATAAAAACTTCTCTGCCTCTCTCATGAGATTCCTAGGAATAGAAAGCAAAATGGCTTTTAGGGAATGTAAGCCGTAAAATGGATGCAAATACCACCCACTCCTGGAGGGCATTAAACCTGTGGGATGCAGTGATCGGACCAGGTTTTAGTGCCAGCTCCTGAGACCACCTCCTCCAGGCTGGCTGGGCTTCCAGAACACTGACCCCAGGCTGAGAGGACAAAATTGGGAGCCCTGGTTTTCCGGAGAGTTTCCCAAGTGCTTCTGCTGGCCTGGGCAGCCAGTGGGCCTGTCTATCTCAAAAGCTGCCTGCCAGGCCCTGGTGTGGTCAGAAAAAGATGGCACCCTGCCTGTCACACAGGGCAAGCTGCCACTCCTATGAATGGTACCAGCCTGGGAGTCCATTCCAGGCCCCACCTTGATCCTGGCTGTCCCTGGGGCTGGGAACAAGAAGCTGCTCTCCCAGCCTCAGTTTCTCTGTCTAGGAGGCATGATGTGGTAGCAAAAGGCTCAGATTCTGGAGCCCAGATGCCTTGGGTGAATCCCTGGCTCTATTTTCTAGTTTGTAAATTTGGACAAGTTGCTTAACCTCCCTGTGCCTCAGTTTCCAAAGCAGAAAAAAGGAACAATTTATACCCAATGCAAAGTGTTCTAGGGAGGATTAAATGGGATGCTATGTGGAAAGAGTTTGGCCCAAGGTCATTATTTAACTAGTGCTTACAAATCATGTTAATCTTCAACAAAAGTCAGTACAAAATGGAGTGGGACTAGCTCTCTGTTCTTATACCTTTCTGTACATTGGAATCACCCAGGAAAATGAAGATTTTCAGTCTGCTATTGAGGCTCTGATAAAAGCAGGGCTGGGAAGAGCTCAGGAAAATGTGTTTTAGACAAACTCCCTGGATAATTGTGAAGCTGGGCTAGTGTGGAAAGCTTTGAACTTGCTGGGAGGCCAAGCTTCCTAGCCGAGGCTCTGGGCACCTCCCAGGTATCTCTCCACAAAGGGACACAGTACGTCTTCCATCAAGGGGACATGCAGCCCCGCTGAACTCAACATGAGGCAGCCCCAGTCGAAAGGTTCAGCTCGGGACAAGGCCCAGCCTGGGGAGGAGAGCGAGCAGGTGGCCGAGCCTGGCCACATCAGGGAGGGAGGGACAAGCTTCCAGCACCTGTCCCTGCCCTGGCTCTGACAGCCTGTTTGTCCTTTATCTTTAATGCACGTACTCTCTGTTTCTGTTGCTCTGTTGAATACATCTTTGCAAACTTCCTTTGGTGGAAGCACGTAACTAAGTACAAATGGACCGTAATAAAGACAACAGTAAAGTGCCCTCTGTCTTCCAGAGGCTTTATGAGGCTTTATCTCCTCTGCTTCCCACAAAGGCCTGAACTGTGGGTCGTCCCCTTGTCTACAGGAGAGGAACCACACAGCCAGTTGAGAGCAACCTGATCAGATGCTGCCCCTAAATTCATCTCACAACCCCTTCCCTGCCTCACAATAGACCAAGTCTGAAATAGCAAGCAGGTAGCCGGAGGCAGGCTGCTTGCTCATCCTAGGGACCCAAACCCAATTTCCTCCAATTCCACCCTGCACACTGAATCTGGGGTCAGGCAGACATCCACACTGTGAGGAGCAGCCTCCGCCCTGTCTTCCCCTGAGCCTGCCTGCAAGGCAGGGTAAGGATGGGAACTGAGGCAAAGGAAAGGGGCTGATCTTTTGGAGAATCCCAGGCTTCATGTTTTCCTATGTTCTCCACAGCACTCTTGAGAGGCTGATAATCTCTCCATGTTCCAGATAAGAAAAACCTCAGAGAGAAGTCACTTTTCTAAGTTCTGCCATGAGTGGGGAGACCGGCAGACACTCCAACTCCAGGGAGAAGGCTCGCCCTGCCCTGGGGATGCACCTACCTGCCTTGGTGCAGTTCAGGACTCTGCACAGCTCATTCAGGAACCTCTGGAAATCAGGGTCATCATTTATCCCCTGGACCCGGCTGCCCTCAACCGCGGAGAAGAGCGCAGCACCCAGCAACGCGTAGGTCACTAGGCAGCTGAGGAAGCAGAGGCCTGGCAGGAGCTTCCCCAGGGCCACAGGACAGCAGCCGCTGGTCTGGGGCAGCCCTTCAGCCTCCATCTCCTGGAGCCTGCGATAGGAGGAGCTGCAGGAAGAGGCCAGCATCCAGGCCCAGAAGGAGTGGAAAGGTGGGAGTGGCCGCAGGATGGCTGGGCTCCAGCGCTGAGTGGATTACATTCACCTCCCCAAGGACTGGGGAAGCAGCCGGAACCTATCCTGTTCAATTCATCAGAATGACTTGGATGGTGCCCCTCCTATGGCCCCAAATTGCTATTGATCCACTGGTCCACCCTAGAGCCACCAGGCAGGGGCGTTAGGAGGATGACATGGTTATTGTTTTTTGCTGTTTAACCTTTCCCCGTCCTAAAATTACAGTTTCATTTTACAGGTGCCAAATCCTGTTTTTGGTTCTTAGTCTGGAAATTGTCCTTCCTGTAGTTGGCCTATGCTACCTGCTCTCCTGGATGAGAGGAAATAACAGTACAGTCAAGCCCCACAGTTTCCAAATGGCCTTAACCCCACGTGGTTCTAATTTATGCAATGTTTTTTGTTGTAATTGTTTTTGGGTTTTTTGTTTTTTGTTTTTGTTTTTGTTTTTGTTTTGGTATCAGGGAGGCACTTGTTCTGCTGAGCTAAATCCCTGGCCCCCACATGTGGTTCTAACTATTGGCCCCAGTCCCTCACTCCCCCCATAGCATCCCCTCCAGCAAGTGACCCCACAGGGGACAGAGTACACTTCCTTGACCCTCAGGCTTGACCAGGCCACCTGATGCTCCACCCATTGGATAATAGCAGGCACGGGGATGCACGGGGACTTTATCAGCTCTCTCTGTGATCCTGGGTTCTTCCAGCCTTGTGCTTTCACAAGTCTTCTCCCCAATAAACATCTGTAGATGCCCTCTCTTAGTGTCTGCTTCAGCATCTTCTGAAGCTGGCATCAAGAGTGTCTGAGAAGCTCTGAAACAGACTTTCAAGACTAGGACACTCAGTACCCAAGTGGAAAGGGCACAACGCACAGACAGCCTTTGGCACAAGGCAGCCGTCATCCCAGTGTGCAACAACTCACCAGTGTGGAACTGGGGTGGCACGTGGGCTAGTACAATGATTTCAGCATTTGGAGAACACTGGAGGAATGAAAAATTCAAGAGTAATGAGTTTGAAAGATGAGTCCAAAGTTGTGCTAATCCCTTTGGGATGGGTGTCAGTCAGCCAGTCCTAAAATTTCCAGCAGGGTCTTCTGAGAGCCAGATGACTTGGAGGTAACAAAGACCTCCACGGTACCCTGGAGAGAGATGACATAGATACACGGCTCATGCTCCTAAGTACAGAGAGGGGAATACAAAGAGAGCTGCACACAGACCGTGTCTCTGAAGGCAAAAGAAAGGGATTCTAGAAGCTGGGCTGCCCAGGGGGATGAATGAGGTCAGCTCACAGATGTCAGGGAAGCAGGGCAAGGACTGGCTGAGAGTGGATCCGTAGTATCAGGTCTCCCTGACGGGACACTTTCTAGGTCCTTAAAGGGGTCTAGCAGCAGCTTTTTCTCTTCTCAGTGGCTGACCATTGTGTTGACCACGCAGGATCACAATACACAGGTAAAACAAAATACACTTTAAAGCCACTCTTGTACCTCTCTCAGTGGGGAGATACATTTTAAAAAGCAGGTAGTATTTTCCTGATAGCCAAAAGTGAGTCCCTCTAATCCATGCAGACAATCTCCAAAAATTCCCATGATGAAACCTAAGACCCCAAATGAGAGTATTAGGTGGGGTCTTTAAGGGTGGTGGAGCATGAAACCAGAGCCCTCATCCATGGGATTAGTGACCTTCTAAACTAGAGAGAACAGCCTTCCTTGGTGTGAAAATGCTGCCCTGAGAAGACAACGTGAGGAACAGGCCCTTACTAGACCCTGAATCTACTGCCACCTTGATCTTGAACTTCCAGCTTCCAAGACGGTGAGAAATAAATTTCCAGTCTTTATAAATTACCTAGATTCTGGTGTTTTGCTACAGTAACGTGAGTGCACTGAGACAGGAAGGATGGCATGGCCTTGGCAGGCCTCTGGAACCTCAGCAGCAGCTGGTGTGAGCTCTCCCGCTGCCATCTGCCCTGGAGACACATGACTGTTGTATTCTTTCTCCTCTTCTCTTTCCTGTTTTTTGTGATTTAGATACAGAATGTCCCCCTAAAGTCTCAAGTGTTTGGCAGGTGACTGGACCAAAGTGGTGCCATAGACTAGGGAAATTAACCCATTGATGACCGGATGCGCTGTAAGGAGGTGAGGCTGGGTTGCAGGTGGGTCACTGGCAGTGTGACCTGGCAGGATTATTCTCCTTCCCTTCTCCATCCTTTTCTCTCTGCCTTCTAGCTGTCATATACTGAAAAGCTTTCCTCTGCAGTGCCAGTCAATCACAGGCAGATTCCTCTGAAACATGAGCCAAAATAACCTCTCCAGGTATTTAATCCGTGTAACAAGAAAGTGACTAATAACCCCCCTCCCTGTCCCTTTTACGTCTCTGGAAAGAGGGCAGGCATTCAGGGAGTGGGCTGCTCAATCACAAGCAACTCCCCCATTCTTTTAAAAATAATGAGAAGCCGATTACACGCCTACATTTTAACATGGCATGGGTTCCTAGAGTCAAATTGCTGTGTTTTGCACAGCCAACTTTACACCTACAAATGACAGGATTAGCGATGTCAGGGGCCAGTGTGGGAACTGAAGACAAAAACTCTTACTACAAGAGTTGACAGAGAGGAGGTGGTCACCCCACACAGGCAGACTCCAGACCCAGATCTGGACCTGCAGCCTGAGGGCTGAGGCCTGCGGAGAGGTCCTGTGCCTGCAATGGCAGGGATACAGGAACAAAACAATTCTTTCCTAAAATCTGGATTTTCAGGGCCAAACCATAGAGACACTTCACTGAATTTAAGGTAGTCAGGGACTTAATCCTGACTGTGAATCCTCATTTCCCTACCTAGACCATCATGTGGTTAGTGTTTGGGGAAAGGAGACTTAACTTTAACAAGAGGACCAAACTATATATGTGGTGGTGTTGTAGTTAGGGCTCTCTGGAGCAACAGGGCCAGTTCGACATACACCGATATACAGAAGATTTATTGTGGGAACTGGCTCACTCGGTTTTGTGATGAGAAGTCCACAGTGTACCATCTTTGAACTGAAGACCCAAGAAAGCCAGTAGTCTGAAGCTCAGAGAAATGGGGCCGGGAGGTGTCACTGATGTAATTCTGCAAACTCAAGAACCTGCAATTCTGATACCCCAGCAATCTGATACAGAAGAACATGTCCCACCTGAAGAACAGAGAGTGAATTCTCTCTTCCTCCACCTTTTCATTCAGTTCTGGCCCTGAGGGAATGCTGTGCACTCACTTTTGGTGAAAATGGATCTTCTTTATCCAGCTGAGGGGTTAAAATTATACTCTTTTTCTGGAATATACTCCACACAGAGAGAGAGACATATAGATACACCTAGAAATAATCTTGAGCCAGTTCTTTGGGCAACCTGTGGCCTTCATCACACTGACACTTAAAATTAACCACTAAAAATGGCTGACAGAAATGGTGTTGACTGGTCTCTGGCTGAGAGTTCAGAAGGAAAAGGGCCCTGCTGCTGGCTGCTCTGCTCCACCCAAACATTCACACCCTGGGCCTGTTTGTCTCGGTACTCCACCACATCTCAGGGCAGCAGAGTTCCAAGCCTGGTCCTCAGGCAAACAGACTGAACATGGGCTGTGAACATGTTAGAAATGAAAGTTCTTGGGGCCCACCCCAGACCTATTGAGTCAGAAACCTCAGGGCAGGATCAAACAGTCTCACTAAGACCTGCAAGGGATTCTGAATTGCATTTAAGCATGAGAACAATGTCCTTGGACATAATCCTCCTCTGCAGAGTTAAAATTGGAGTGTTAGGCACATCTCTGTTCTGGGGAAAGGAACAGAGGGAAATAAATTTCTTCTAATCCAGTGAAATAAAAATCACACATATCCCTTCTGCTCAATTCAGTTAATAAGAATTTTATCATAGCCACATCCAACCACAAGATCAACTGGAAAATATAACCTTTAAAAGATGTCCATTACCTAGGAAGAAGGTTGATTTTGGGCAAAATTGACCATATCCTACCAAGGCAGGCAGGGCATCCTGAAACTACTGCTGCAGTCACCACCATTTCTGATGGAAGCACACATCTCTGCCACTTTGCAAGGGTTCTGTATTAGCCAGCTTTCCATCACTGTGACAAAATGCTTGACATAAGTCAATTTAAAGGAGGAAAGATTTCTTTTAGATCACAGTTTTAAAGGTTTCAGTCCATGGCCCAACTGGCTGTATTATTTGTAGCAAGTACTTACTTGTGGCAAGGCAGAATCATGGTGTATCTTGGTTACTTTTCTCTCATTGCTGAGACAAAACACTTGATGCCCAAAATGAAGGAAAGGTTTATTTAGTTTATTGGTTTTGGAGGTTTCAGGGTGGTATGGCTAAGTGACAACAATTCATGGTGACTGCAAGCAACAAGAGCAAAAAGAGGAAAAGCACACCTCCTCCCTTATATTGTGTGCTGGCTACTCACCCCTGGGTGGGTGCAGCACTCACAGTGCTAATACCCACACTAGACAATGAACTAATCACAAACGCTAAACTCAGTCACCTCAGTGACTTCATGAGGCCTGGAGGGCCACCCAAATATAAACCATAACATGGTGGAAGGACAAGGAAGAGAACAGCTACTCACTTCAGAATCATCAGAGAGAGAGAGAGAGAGAGAGAGAGAGAGAGAGAGAGAGAGAGAGAGAGAGAGACAGAGAGAGAGACAGAGAGAGAGAGGGAAAGTGCCAGGAAAGTGGGGGTCAGGAACCAGATACAGTCATGCGTCCATGATCTGTTCTCTTTGACTGGGCTCCACATCCTGTTTTCATCTCCTCCCAATAATGTCATCAAGCTACGACTCCTTCAGAGGTGAATCCACCAATAATGTCAGGGCTAGGATGATCCAATCATTTCCTCAAAGCCCCAAAACAACAAGCGTTCAACACACTGGACTTTTTTGAAGGACATTTTGGATAACAAT